TTATTTGATAACACGATTTTTTTACATCCCATTTTTTGGGACAGCCAAAGCTTTAAAATCGCATAACTTTGTCAAAAATGCATTAATTTCAATTCGGAAAGCGTTCCTGTGTTAGTTGTTTGGCGCTTAACAAATCTGCATACTAAATTTAATTTTTTAGGAGATCGAATATTTTTTTAGATTTTTGCGATGTAACCCCTTGAATTTTTTTCAAAATTTGGAAATGTCTGTTTGCTACCTGAGGTGGCCAGAACGATTCGCCTGTTAATGCTGATCAAGAATATATATGATTTATAGGGTCGGAAATGGCTCCTTCATTAATTAAAATTATATTTTCCTCTGCAAGATTCTTGAAATTGCAATTTTTATTTGATAACACGATTTTTTTACATCCCATTTTTTGGGACAGCCAAAGCTTTAAAATCGCATAACTTTGTCAAAAATGCATTAATTTCAATTCGGAAAGCGTTCCTGTGTTAGTTGTTTGGCGCTTAACAAATCTGCATACTAAATTAATTTTTTAGGAGATCGAATATTTTTTTAGATTTTTGCGATGTAACCCCTTGAATTTTTTTCAAAAATTTGGAAATGTCTGTTTTGCTACCTGAGGTGGCCAGAACGATTCGCCTGTTAATGCTGATCAAGAATATATATGATTTATAGGGTCGGAAATGGCTCCTTCATTAATTAAAATTATATTTTCCTCTGCAAGATTCTTGAAATTGCAATTTTTATTTGATAACACGATTTTTTACATCCCATTTTTTGGGACAGCCAAAGCTTTAAAATCGCATAACTTTGTCAAAAATGCATTAATTTCAATTCGGAAAGCGTTCCTGTGTTAGTTGTTTGGCGCTTAACAAATCTGCATACTAAATTTAATTTTTTAGGAGATCGAATATTTTTTTAGATTTTTGCGATGTAACCCCTTGAATTTTTTTCAAAAATTTGGAAATGTCTGTTTTGCTACCTGAGGTGGCCAGAACGATTCGCCTGTTAATGCTGATCAAGAATATATATGATTTATAGGGTCGGAAATGGCTCCTTCATTAATTAAAATTATATTTTCCTCTGCAAGATTCTTGAAATTGCAATTTTTATTTGATAACACGATTTTTTTACATCCCATTTTTTGGGACAGCCAAAGCTTTAAAATCGCATAACTTTGTCAAAAATGCATTAATTTCAATTCGGAAAGCGTTCCTGTGTTAGTTGTTTGGCGCTTAACAAATCTGCATACTAAATTTAATTTTTTAGGAGATCGAATATTTTTTTAGATTTTTGCGATGTAACCCCTTGAATTTTTTTCAAAATTTGGAAATGTCTGTTTTGCTACCTGAGGTGGCCAGAACGATTCGCCTGTTAATGCTGATCAAGAATATATATGATTTATAGGGTCGGAAATGGCTCCTTCATTAATTAAAATTATATTTTCCTCTGCAAGATTCTTGAAATTGCAATTTTTATTTGATAACACGATTTTTTTACATCCCATTTTTTGGGACAGCCAAAGCTTTAAAATCGCATAACTTTGTCAAAAATGCATTAATTTCAATTCGGAAAGCGTTCCTGTGTTAGTTGTTTGGCGCTTAACAAATCTGCATACTAAATTTAATTTTTTAGGAGATCGAATATTTTTTTAGATTTTTGCGATGTAACCCCTTGAATTTTTTTCAAAATTTGGAAATGTCTGTTTTGCTACCTGAGGTGGCCAGAACGATTCGCCTGTTAATGCTGATCAAGAATATATATGATTTATAGGGTCGGAAATGGCTCCTTCATTAATTAAAATTATATTTTCCTCTGCAAGATTCTTGAAATTGCAATTTTTATTTGATAACACGATTTTTTTACATCCCATTTTTTGGGACAGCCAAAGCTTTAAAATCGCATAACTTTGTCAAAAATGCATTAATTTCAATTCGGAAAGCGTTCCTGTGTTAGTTGTTTGGCGCTTAACAAATCTGCATACTAAATTTAATTTTTTAGGAGATCGAATATTTTTTTAGATTTTTGCGATGTAACCCTTGAATTTTTTTCAAAAATTTGGAAATGTCTGTTTTGCTACCTGAGGTGGCCAGAACGATTCGCCTGTTATGCTGATCAAGAATATATATGATTTATAGGGTCGGAAATGGCTCCTTCATTAATTAAAATTATATTTTCCTCTGCAAGATTCTTGAAATTGCAATTTTTATTTGATAACACGATTTTTTTACATCCCATTTTTTGGGACAGCCAAAGCTTTAAAATCGCATAACTTTGTCAAAAATGCATTAATTTCAATTCGGAAAGCGTTCCTGTGTTAGTTGTTTGGGCTAACAAATCTGCATACTAAATTTAATTTTTTAGGAGATCGAATATTTTTTTAGATTTTTGCGATGTAACCCCTTGAATTTTTTTCAAAAATTTGGAAATGTCTGTTTTGCTACCTGAGGTGGCCAGAACGATTCGCCTGTTATGCTGATCAAGAATATATATGATTTATAGGGTCGGAAATGGCTCCTTCATTAATTAAAATTATATTTTCCTCTGCAAGATTCTTGAAATTGCAATTTTTATTTGATAACACGATTTTTTTACATCCCATTTTTTGGGACAGCCAAAGCTTTAAAATCGCATAACTTTGTCAAAAATGCATTAATTTCAATTCGGAAAGCGTTCCTGTGTTAGTTGTTTGGCACTTAATAAATCTGCATACTAAATTTAATTTTTAGGAGATCGAATATTTTTTTAGATTTTTGCGATGTAACCCCTTGAATTTTTTTCAAAAATTTGGAAATGTCTGTTTTGCTACCTGAGGTGGCCAGAACGATTCGCCTGTTAATGCTGATCAAGAATATATATGATTTATAGGGTCGGAAATGGCTCCTTCGTTAATTAAAATTATATTTTCCTCTGCAAGATTCTTGAAATTGCAATTTTTATTTGATAACACGATTTTTTTACATCCCATTTTTTGGGACAGCCAAAGCTTTAAAATCGCATAACTTTGTCAAAAATGCATTAATTTCAATTCGGAAAGCGCTTCTGTGTTAGTTGTTTGGCACTAATAAATCTGCATCTAAATTTAATTCTTTAGGAGATCGAATATTTTTTTAGATTTTTGCGATGTAACCCCTTGAATTTTTTTCAAAAATTTGGAAATGTCTGTTTTGCTACCTGAGGTGGCCAGAACGATTCGCCTGTTAATGCTGATCAAGAATATATATGATTTATAGGGTCGGAAATGGCTCCTTCATTAATTAAAATTATATTTTCCTCTGCAAGATTCTTGAAATTGCAATTTTTATTTGATAACACGATTTTTTTACATCCCATTTTTTGGGACAGCCAAAGCTTTAAAATCGCATAACTTTGTCAAAAATGCACTAATTTCAATTCGGAAAGCGTTCCTGTGTTAGTTGTTTGACGCTTAACAAATCTGCATATTAAATTAATTTTTTACGAGTCGAATATTTTTTTAGATTTTTGCGATGTAACCCCTTGAATTTTTTTCAAAAATTTGGAAATGTCTGTTTTGCTACCTGAGGTGGCCAGAACGATTCGCCTGTTAATGCTGATCAAGAATATATATGATTTATAGGGTCGGCAATGGCTCCTTCGTTAATTAAAATTATATTTTCCTCTGCAAGATTCTTGAAATTGCAATTTTTATTTGATAACACGATTTTTTTACATCCCATTTTTTGGGACAGCCAAAGCTTTAAAATCGCATAACTTTGTCAAAAATGCATTAATTTCAATTCGGAAAGCGTTCCTGTGTTAGTTGTTTGGCACTTAATAAATCTGCATACTAAATTTAATTTTTGGGAGATCGAATATTTTTTTAGATTTTTGCGATGTAACCCCTTGAATTTTTTTCAAAAATTTGGAAATGTCTGTTTTGCTACCTGAGGTGGCCAGAACGATTCGCCTGTTAATGCTGATCAAGAATATTATGATTTATAGGGTCGGAAATGGCTCCTTCATTAATTAAAATTATATTTTCCTCTGCAAGATTCTTGAAATTGCAATTTTTATTTGATAACACGATTTTTTTACATCCCATTTTTTGGGACAGCCAAAGCTTTAAAATCGCATAACTTTGTCAAAAATGCATTAATTTCAATTCGGAAAGCGCTTCTGTGTTAGTTGTTTGGCACATAATAAATCTGCATCTAAATTTAATTCTTTAGGAGATCGAATATTTTTTTAGATTTTTGCGATGTAACCCCTTGAATTTTTTTCAAAAATTTGGAAATGTCTGTTTTGCTACCTGAGGTGGCCAGAACGATTCGCCTGTTAATGCTGATCAAGAATATATATGATTTATAGGGTCGGAAATGGCTCCTTCATTAATTAAAATTATATTTTCCTCTGCAAGATTCTTGAAATTGCAATTTTTATTTGATAACACGATTTTTTTACATCCCATTTTTTGGGACAGCCAAAGCTTTAAAATCGCATAACTTTGTCAAAAATGCATTAATTTCAATTCGGAAAGCGTTCCTGTGTTAGTTGTTTGGCACTTAATAAATCTGCATATTAAATTTAATTTTTGGGAGATCGAATATTTTTTTAGATTTTTGCGATGTAACCCCTTGAATTTTTTTCAAAAATTTGGAAATGTCTGTTTTGCTACCTGAGGTGGCCAGAACGATTCGCCTGTTAATGCTGATCAAGAATATATATGATTTATAGGGTCGGCAATGGCTCCTTCGTTAATTAAAATTATATTTTCCTCTGCAAGATTCTTGAAATTGCAATTTTTATTTGATAACACGATTTTTTTACATCCCATTTTTTGGGACAGCCAAAGCTTTAAAATCGCATAACTTTGTCAAAAATGCACTAATTTCAATTCGGAAAGCGTTCCTGTGTTAGTTGTTTAGCGCTTAAGAAATCGGCGTACCAAATAACATTTTGCATGGCGGAAGTGATCAACCATTTAATATTAAATTTAATTTTGTTTCTTTACTTATATGGCGATGACCCCATACACACACTCGGATCTACAGAATATGGATCTGGAATAGCAGAGGAAGCGACAGCGGCTTTCTCTGCTAAGGTGCTGAAGGCCTTTAGAGTGCTGGAGAGAGCTAGAAGGGATCGGACGGGCTTAGAGGCCGCACAATATGGGGCCTTGCGCAGTTTCTAATTCTAAGCATTTATGTAAATTTAGGTGTATTTCCAATCTAACTTAAATAAATAAAGTCGAATATAAAAATAAGAAAAAAAAAATAGAATATGGCTGTGGCTACACTATCCATAAAAGTATGCCACGTATTTTCACTTCCGGCTGCTATTAATTCAGCCTAAAAGATGCAATGTTTTATAGCCAAACTTTCGCGGGGTAAAATAATTGCCTCAATATTAAATGTTAGCATACTGTTTTGGGCTGCCGACCGAAGCTGCACGACCTTTGGAAATTTAAAAAGCGAACTCGAGCACTGTATTTACATTTTGCATGGCGGAAATGATCAACCATTTAATATTAAATTTCAAGTTGGATCTTTGCTTATATGGCGGTGGCCCCAAACACACTCTCGTCATTTTAAATTTAAATTGAAATTTATCGTTTTACTGACGTGGCGGCAACTGATCCACTATTTAAATTCAAATTAAAATTTGTCGGTAAGCTCATTTGGCGGGTATTGATGGCCTATATAAATTTTAAAATCCAAAATTGGAAGTTAAATTAATACTTTTAGCGTCTTTTCTTATTGTAAATTATAAATTGTAGCTGTTTTGAAAAAGGTTTTTTTTTGTAAAAGAGAGGTTTTTGTTGTTTTTAAAGAGTTTTTGCTATAAAAGATATGTTGTTTTCTTTGTTTTAGAATTTTTGTTGTAAAAGAGATGTTTTTATTGTTTTTAAAGAGTTTTTGTTGTAAACGAGATTTTGTTATTGTTTTTAAAGTATTTTTGTTGTAAAAGAGATGTTTTTATTGTGTTTAAAGAGTTTTTGTTTTAAAATGTTGTTATTGTTGTTGTTGTTGCTGGTGTTGTTGTTGTTGTTGTTGTTGTTGTTGTTGTTGTTGTTGTTGTTGTTGTTGTTGTTGTTGTTGTTGTTGTTGTTGTTGTTGTTGTTGTTGTGCATGTTGTTGTTGTTGTACATACTGTGTACATCGTGCGGTTGTGTGTTGCAAAGCCAAGCCTTCGATGTGCTCAATTTCGCTTAATTTTCGGCCTGAAATACCAGGCGAACAGAAAGCAGCAGCAAGCAAATTTAATTTTCTGCAAAATCATTTTTCACCCTAAAAGCATGCTACATCGCACCCTAGAAGTATGCTACGCTTTTTTTCAATTGCCTACTTTTGCATATTTTTGGCATTGCATGCTTTTGGGGGCACGGTGTAGCATACTTCTAGGGTGAAAAATGATTTTGCAGAAAATTAAATTTGCTTGCTGCTGCCTTCTGTTCGCCTGGTATTTCAGGCCGAAAATTAAGTGACACCGAGCACATCGAAGGCTTGGCTTTGCAACACACAACCGCACGATTTCACAGTATGTACAACACACAACCGCACGATTTGCACAGTATGTACAACAACAACAACAACCCACATTACAACAACAACAACAACAACACAACAACAACAACAACAACAGCAACAACAACAACAACAACAACAACAACAACAACAACACCAACAACAACAAAAACAACAACAACAACAACAACAACAAAAACAACAACAAAAACAACAGCAACAACAACCAAAACCAGAATGACAACAACAACAAAAACAATAACTACCTTTTACAGCAACAACACTGTACAACTCAAAATTTAAAAAGCTCATAACTCAGCCAAAAATGCTTTAATTTGAATTCGGAAAACGGTCCTATGTTTGTTTTTATTAGGTTAATCAATCTGTATATTAAAACAACAGCTAAAACAAAAACAACAGCAACTACTACAAAAAAAAAAATTAGTAATAAGTAAACTAATTAATTATTTATAAGATAAGATAAGATTGTATATTAAACGAATTAATAAAATGCGTAAGGCGATGGTTTAATAGAGATGCTTGTGATTTCATTTATTATTACTTATGGATGGATTACTTATGGGGATGGATTACTGAAACCTAAAGCGACTCACCTTAACGCTGGATCACTCAGGGAAGGAGCCATTTCCGACCCTATAAATCATATATATTCTTGATCCTCATTAACAGGCGAATCTTTCTGGCCATCTCAATTAGTAAAACAAAATTTTTCAATTTAAAATAAAAAGGAAAGGGATTACTTCGTTAAAATGTTCAAAAATTGCCAAAAAGTTAAATTTTTTTAAAGCTTATAATGATTATGGAACTCTCGAAAAATACTTACAAGTTGGAAATTATAATTCCTTAACTTCAGGATGCTATACCAACCAAGCAACCCAAAAAATAAAAAACTCATCACAAACTGGCTTTCAATTCTTACGTATATTTTGTTATTATTTTGTTCAATTTCAATTTCAGATACTTTTCTATTTACAAATGAACTCCGAATGGGGATTTGCTGTTTTCTACACATCTCTCTCAAGAATCGGGTATATATGTTGTATTGTGTATTTGTATAATCTTCGTTAATAGTTACGTATAATATGCTTATATATTTCAATATTGTTTCAGTTAAATTTATTTGCTTTGAAAGTTCTCCATTTGATTACGTTTGCCAAAGAACAAAATGAGGGGGGGAGGGGGGTGGAATCCCCTGGGAAAGATTATGATGATTGGTATCCTTGGGCCTTAACCATAGTAGTTACCCGGCGCCTGGGTGGGATAACTCTTGGCCCCGCCATTGCCGGAGGAATAGCCATCGGAGGAGCCGCCCCTGGACGAGGGATTCTCGCTGAAGAGACCGCCAAAGTTCTTGGAGCTGAAGATGTCGCCCAGGCCACCGCCACCGCCGCCGCCGCCTCCGCCCATGGCTCCACCTCGATTGGTATTGCCACCGCTGAGCAGACTGCCCAGGAAGCTGCCAGCTCCGCCACCGCCGCCGCCTCCTGCATTGCCTCCACCGCCGGCCAGAACGGAACCGAGCAGACCGCCCAGTATGTTGCTGCCTGAGGAGCCGCCGCCGCCGGAACCAGCTGGAGATCCGCCGCCATAGCCACCGCTGGGCTGATAGGCAGCTCCTCCTCCATTATTTCCGCCGTTTGCTCCGCCTCCCTGCAGCTGCTTGGCTATCTGGCCTGCAATGATACCGGAGACCGCTTGACTCACCGCCGGATTCGAGAAGAAGTTGGAGAAGAAGCCACCGTTCTTGTCCTTTGGCTTCTGGTCGCCACCGCCACCGCCACCGCCGTTGTTCTCATAGCCGGGGGCAGGCGGTGTGTAGCCAGGACGCGGTTGATAGCCGCCCGGAGCGGGCTGGTAACCGCCAGGAGCGGGTTGATAGCCACCAGGTCCAGGTTGATAGCCACTGTTGTAGGGATTGTAGCCGCCGTTGGCACCGCCACCGCCACCACCACCACCACCGTAGGGATTGTAGCCGCCAGCAGCATTTCCACCCATTCCACCGCCGCTGTTCGGTAAACTGGGATACAGGGAGTGGCCGCCAGCCGAGAAGCCACCACCGTATCCGCCATTCCCGTTCGGATGGCTGCCCGCATCCGCATCTGGCATCTGCGGGGCACTGGGGGCATTCGGGGCGTATGCGTTATGGCTCACCTCTGGGATTGGATCGGCGTTCAAGCAGAGCAAGCAATGTGTTAGCCACAAAAGCGGGGTTTGATTGACACACAAGAAACACAAGTTGGTAAAATGGAAACGAAAGAAAAACGGAGAACACAAATTAGGCAAAAATAAGAAAATGAAACGCACAAAATTAAAATAAAAAAATAAGTGAACTTAGCTTAGCATTATCGTTTTTTGTTTTGATTAACAATTGCACCGATTAAAATCTACACAACTTTGAGTTTCATCCGCCTGGGCTTAGGTCTAAGTTAAGTCTTCGCTGTAGTATATTAAATATATATATATATGTATATATATAACCTCCATACACATGTTTAATGCTATGTACAACTCTCTCCATCTTTAGTTGTGTTTTTTCGTTTGTTTGTTTGTTTCTTTTGATTAGTAAATACTCGAATACTTATTGTTTGCTTGTTAAATTGTTTTTGCGGGATTAGTATTTGCATTGTTTGGTTTTCGGTTTCCTTTTTTAGTTAGTTTGATAATACTGTTCATACGGGGTTTTACATGGTTCATTGAGGGTTCTGGCAAAGGACCTTGTAATAACAAGATGCATAGCACATTCTCTTGCTAGAAAGCACTCTATTTCTTTGGCTTTTGAATGTTTATTCGAGTGCAAATTATAGGTCATCTTGTTATTATACGATCCTTAACTCAGATGAGGTGAATGTCAAATGAATGTCTTGCGAAAATGTGTCCCAAAAATCAAATTGTTTAAATACAAACGGACGGAGTAAATATTTCCGAATTGTTTCTCCGGAATTTACAGCATCAACTTATAATTTGTAAGTGGAACGATTTATCTCAACTGTGTTGTATCTTTTGGTCTCTCAGAATTCGATTTCGCTCGTATCTGAGATTGTTGAATCGCAAAAATACTGTACTCGTATATATATTAAATAGGTAAAATATTGTTGGGACAAATGCAGCACAAATATTAACATTCTGAAGCACTTATGCAAGTATTTATTTTTTGGCTTCGTGTGTGATTTCCATGTTGGTCTCATGTCATGTGACTCTGGCAGTTGGTTTGTTAGCAAAATGTAAATGCATTTTTTTGTTTGTTTGATTCTCCGTCGGCTTATTGTTAGTTTGTTTAGTTTAGCTTAGTTTTTCTTCTTTTTTAGATTAGTTTCGAACACCTTAGGCTAGCTTAATTCTCGTTCTTTCGTATCGTTTTTTAAATTTTAAAATGCGATTTAAATTGCTTTCACTGGTTATTATTAATTTTTTATTATACGGTACAAAAAAAAAAACCACAGACAACGAAACTTTTGCACTTGGTGCATTTGCTGCTGCAATTCGTCACTCGTTTCGACTCCTAGCTCATTATGCATTTTGATTGACATGCGTATGTATCTCAGTATCTACAAACACTATCCATCTATCCATCTAAGTATCTGGCTTACGGACAGTGGCAGCTAGCAAAAAAACAAAAAAAAAAAGAAAAGCTGAACCCGGGCTCTGGCCTTAAATTCGTAACATCAACAAACACGAAATTAACATCAAAATTGCCCAACCAGCCATGCGTTTGTGCGAGGTCCTGCAGCCAGGATACTTCCTGCCTACCAGCCTGTCTGCCTGTGTGTGTGTGTGTGTGTCTCTGCCTGTGGCTGTGCCTCTCTGTGTGTGTCTGTGTTTTGCAGCGGTCAGACTTGAGGGAGGCTCTCTCTCGGTGCCGTCTAAGCCCGAAATTAAATTCCAATTTAATTGAGCTGCAAAAAAGAGCACTACTCCACTCCACTCCACTCCGCTCCCGGAGGGGGATTCCCTTGACTGATTGTCGAAAACACACAAATGAACTTGTTGTATGTATATACTACACACACACAAGCACACATTCGCTTGCCGGCACACAATATTAAATTGAAATTACGTATACGAAGTGTGTGCCAGACCGGCAAAGGCTGGCTGCCGCACAAAAAATGCCAATAACGTGGGCAAAGAGAGCAAGAGCGAGCTGCTAGTGTAATTAAAATACAACTAAGAGACACAAAGTGCCCAAAAATGCTGCAGGAAACTTTGTCGAGTCCTGTGTCCTGTGGCTGAATTTGTTTCCAATTGCATGCATTATTCATTCGCAATTTTTTGCAATAAAGAATGGAGGGGGGGGGGGGGCTCTAAGCTGTAGCAACCTGATATATTACAGTTCTAATTACGTACTTGTAGCCATTAAAAATATATATATGTATATAGTATTTCAACTGCCACTGCATCTGGTTTACAATATAATGTGTCCTTAAGCTTATGCCAAAACAAATCAAGTAAAAAAATTATATATATAAATGAGAAATAATAAAATTGGGAAAACTTAAAGAAAAGTTAAGAAAGGGATATATATATGAAGAGCATACTTTCATTTTCGCCAGCAATCTAATAGCTATTTCAGAACTTTTACAATCTTAAAATTATTATTATTTGAAATGCTTTTTGATTTTTTCTTTCTTTTAAGTATTTCATTTGTTTTCTATGCAATTCCCTGTACATTTTGCCAAGAGGAAATGTCAATTTTATTGCGAAAATAAAAGTATGCTCTGAGCTAAGCTTTTTTTTTTTGTTGGTTTCTTTTGATTTAATCATTCAATGCTTGAATTTTCCAGGGATCGTCCTTGTCGTCTTTGTGGCTGCACCTGCTCTCACAGTTTATTACGTGTGCAGCAAGGACACCAGCAGGATGCTTGCGGTGGCCAGAAGTAGCGGCGTTCCGCTTAGAATGCCAGCTGCCGAAGGATGCGCCTGGGTGCGCCTGTTATAAGGATTCTGTTGATTCTGATTCTGATATTGAGGCGGTGGCTTGTTATACATATTCGCATTCGAATGCTGCGATTGATATCCTTGATAGTTACTGCCATATGGGGCCAGGCCACCGCCGCCGCCACCCAGGATGCCCAGCGTGGAGCTGGGCAGACCCATGCCGCCGCCGCCGCCGCCGCCCATGCCAGCGCCGCCTCCAACGCCACCGGGCGGACCGCCGGTGCCTGTGGGACCGCCGCCGCCATAGAACGGTAGCTGGCCGAAGACGAAGGGCGGATTGTACGGATTCACCGGCTGTAGGCCATGCATCGGATAGCCGGGATTGAGGACGCTGCCTGGATGATTGGGTTGGGGGAATTGCTGGAACGAGGGCGCCGACGTGGGCGAGTTGTACGGGAAGATGGGCATGTTCGGTATGATGGGCATATGGTGCTTCGCCCCAAAACATAGTGCGGATCGATTATGCCCGTTGAGGAGGCGCCCGCTGCTCCCGCGTTACCGTTTCCGTTCCCGTTACCGTTTGCGTTCGCGCTTCCGGACTTATCGCGCTCCCCATTTCCGGCATTTCCGTTTCCGCCCGCCATTTGGGCGTCGCCGCCGCCGCCGCCATTGCCACCGCCGCCACCACCTCCCTGCTGATGGCTATAGGTGTAGGTGTTAAGCGTGGGATTCGATGAGGCGGGTGCAAAGATGTTGTTCTCTGGTCCCTGGCCCAGACTCGATCCTGTTTTAGTTTGTTAGTTTGTTTATGGAGCAGCATACACACAGAAAAGAGAATGCAGGGGTCGTTTTGTTAATATTTTTAAGGCCATGACCCATGAACCTGATCCCTTTGCTCCCCAGCTCCCAAAACCGCTTTGCAAAGCACAGAGAAAACATACTCTACAGTGGAGTTTCTTAAAGTACATTTTCTTTTCTTATATCCTATAGCTTTTCCTATCGCAAAAATAATGTTTTAAAACTACAAGAAATGTTATTTACTTGTTTCAAATTTATGTAACTTATGTTTTGTATTCAAAAATAAATATATTTCATTTGATTTTCATTAAAAACTCCTTGAAAATGTAATGTAAAAATTATTTTTATGAAATACTGCAACTGACAGGAAATGAAATCCTTTTAAAAATTACCTTAAAGTAATTTTTAAGATCTCATCTTTAGTAATTCCATTACTCGCTTTTTTCCAATATTGTTTTTTGGAAGTACAAATAATTATTATTTTATACTGAATGCCACAAGAAACTAAATCCTTTTAAAACTAACTTTGAAATATGTTTAAGCTCTCAACTTTTGTGTTTCCATTTCTCCCTTTCCCACTATTGTTTTGTGGAAACACAAATCATAATAATTTATACATATGTTTAAGTATTTTCCCTGTGCTTTCTTTTTATTATTAAAATGTTTAACTCATGCATTAATCTTTGGCAGAGAGCTGGGAGCAGCAGGGATGGGCATTGTTTTAGCGGTCGATTAGTTGGATAGTTAGTTAGGAAAGCCTTTGAGCAAATGAGGCGATGAATGAGCGAGCGAGCGGGGTGATTGATTGATTGATTGATTGTTAGATTGATTGAGCTGGCAAAAGCTCTGGGTGTGAGTGTGTGTATTGGTTGATTGGTGTATGTCTGCCTTAGTTTAGGTGTGCAGGTTTTTGTGTGTTAGATTGCCATAAATATTAAAATTGATTGCATGGCATATACATATAAATATATATGCTAATGATATAAGTAAATATACAAATAAACTAAACGAAAAAATTTAAGCTAAATAATTAAGGACGAACAAAACGAGTTTAATTTTGAGTAGTTTTGAATATCCTTGCAGAGGGGTTTTTAAAAAAATTTGAATTAGATTGTAAACTTAACTGGAACTTTGTGATTTGTAAATTGTAAAATTTATTAGATTTAGAAGTCCTTTTTTATTCTTTCAATAGTATAATTAGTAGCTAAACACATTCCTTTGTTAAATAGCATAAAATTAGACAATTTTAGGGACTATTTCTGAATAGATTTTCTGGTTTTTTTTAAGGTTTTAAAGCTTGTTAGGAATTCTAGAATTTTACAAATTAAAAAGATCTCTTAAACTCTCTGCAAGAATATTGAAATCTTCTGCTTTTCCCTCGATAAATCCATAAAAAAAAAGTCCAATTAATCCGCTTAAACTGTTCTTTGGGGAACCACACAGCAAAAAAAAAAAAAACAAAAAACAAATAAATGAATACCGATTATCCTGCGCCAATCCATGAATCCCAACAACAATTCCCGACAACTCCCCCAGGATGGCGCACAACATAAGAGAGTTCAAGTGTGTGGGGATTCCAAGTTAAATACCTGACGGATTGGCCGACGGAGCTGCTGCCTGATTGGGGCTGCTGTTGACGGATCCTCCGCCGCCTCCGGATCGCCTCTTGCAGGTAGGATAACTGCCACAGTCCTTGCCGTCCCTCTGATTATAGCTGCACGAATCGCTGGTTATGATGCACTCCTCGGTGGGCAGGCAGCCGATGTCACCGCATCCACGGCCATACTCTGTGCCCGCGGCAAGTTCGGGTTATCATAGATCATGGATCATGGGGTTTCAATTGTGTGTTTGTGTGTGTGTGGGTTGTGTGTGTTCAAAATCATATGAAAATAAAGGAAAAAGAAAACGAAAAGAAAATTATAAGCCTACAAATTCGGGGGGAGGTCTCGGATTCTGGTTACTCAATGTCAATGATGTAGGTTTGATGAAGGCATGAAATTTTCAACACCGTTTTCGGTTGATAGTTTTAAAAGGGGTAGGGAAATTACAAGTCACAAGGGAAGGTGTGGAAAAACAATAATCATAATAAACGGGAACAGAAGCCGATAGCTTCTGGTCACCGAATATCACGTATACGTACTGGAGTATGCATCCACATGGAGAATGCAGCCGGCAAGGAATACCACGGCAAGGATGGGCAGTGCCAGCATCCCGTTGCTCATCGATGCCACGCCCATAGTCTCACACTGCAGTCGCCTTTTTGTTCCGAATGTCCTGCGAAAAGAAGGAAATATTCATTTTCAGTTGGCCAACTTTTAGACAAGACAAGAGCTCAAAAAAAAAATAATATGTAAGTTTTTGGCAAGATTCTCATAGTGATTCCCGATAAAATCTAAATATCCACAGACATGAGTTTATGGGAAAAGTATAAGGCAAGAATTATATATTATATTATATCCCCAAGCTAATTTATATAATTTTGTTAGTTATCTGAGAATGGTTTTGTTACCCTTTTTTTTGTTTTGTTTGATGTTCTTTTCTGTATTTTTGGCAATAGCTTACACTCGCGAAACGCACTGTCTGGTAGCAGCTGAGACAGCCATCGCGCCGCCCGATTATTATTTATATGTTGCAGCAGAATCACACATTTGGGGGCCGAACCCCTTTTGGCAGGCCAAGTTTATTTATCACATTGACAGCTGGCTCAAACTTAAATGCGGTCTCAATGCGTCACAAAAGAGGGATAATAAGGAATGGGAAAAGGAAAATGTATAAAAAAAGATGGGGAGAAAGCATTGAAAATAAAGGGGAAAACCCCAAAACAAATTTGAGATGTCACACCTCCTATAAAAGTATCGATAGTAAAGATAATATGAAATCAGTGTGCATGTTTCTTAATAAAACTTTGCATTTCCAAATTTTAAAATTCAAAGGCAAGACTCTGCATTAATAAATATCAATTAAAACTTTAAGGTAGGTTTAAAGAATACTTCTCTGGTTATTTAATAAAGTACCCCTCATTTTCACCTAGTTTTATGGCAACAACAAAAGCGTAACACAATAATTTCTGATAATTTTTTTTTACCAAACCGATAGCCATTCAAATTTTCCATCAAAGTAAGCCCTGAACTTTAACTAATAATAATATCAATTAAAACTTTAAAGAATACTCTGCTGTTTTAAGACATTTTATTTAATAAAGTACCCATAATTTTCACCTAGTTTTATGGCAACATATAAATAGTAACAACCTCCTTAATTTCAATATTTTTCTTATTATTTATTTACCAAACCGATAGCCATTCAAATTTTCCATTAAAGTAAGCCGTGAACTTTAACTAATAATAATATCAATTAAAACTTTAAAGAATACTCTGCTGTTTTAAGACATTTTATTAAATAATGTTACCCCGAATTTTCACCTAGTTTTATGGCATCATATAAATAGTAACACAACCTCCTTAATTTCAATAATTTTCTTATAATTTATTTACCAAACCGATAGCCATTCAAATTGTCCATCAAAGTAAGCCCTGAACTTTAACTAATAATAATATCAATTAAAACTTTAAAGAATTCTCTGCTGTTTTAAGACATTTTATTTGATAATGTTACCCCGAATTTTCTTTTAGTTTTATGGCAATATTTTTCAATATTTTTCTTATAATTTATTTTACCAAACCGATAGCCATTCAAATTTTCCATCAAAGTAAGCCGTGAACTTCAACTAATAACATTATCAATTAAACCTTTAAAGAATACTCTTCTGTTTTAAGAAATTTTATTAATAAAGTACCCATAATTTTCACCTAGTTTTATGGCAACATATAAATAGTAACACAACCTCTTTAATTTCAATATTTTTCTTATAATTTATTTACCAAACCGATAGCCATTCAAATTTTCCATTAAAGTAAGCCGTGAACTTTAACTAATAATAATATCAATTAAAACTTTAAAGAATACTCTGCTGTTTTAAGACATTTTATTAAATAATGTTACCCCGAATTTTCACCTAGTTTTATGGCATCATATAAATAGTAACACAACCTCCTTAATTTCAATAATTTTCTTATAATTTATTTACCAAACCGATAGCCATTCAAATTGTCCATCAAAGTAAGCCCTGAACTTTAACTAATAATAATATCAATTAAAACTTTAAAGAATTCTCTGCTGTTTTAAGACATTTTATTTCATAAAGTACCCCTCATTTTCACCTAGTTTTATGGCAACAATAAAATCGTAACACAACCCCCTTAATTTCAATAATTTTCTTATAATTTATTTTACCAAACCGATAGCAATTCAAATTTTCCATCAAAGTAAGCCCTGAATTTTAATTCGATATATTGTATGAATCGACCCTTCACATTCATTTCTACGCTTAACTGAGATCTCGACACTTCGCTTTGGAAATAAGCAAAAAATTATTTTTCAAAAGCTTCAAAAAAGAAAAAGTAAAAGAGCCTAGAGAATCATGGAGAACAACAAGAATCAATCGGTCAAAAACAATCGTGCCGCATTGCGTTTATTGGCCCGGGAATATGCAGGACTCCAGGACGAGATGCTTGAGGGCTTTCGCGTGAAGCTGGTGGATGACAACTACTTCCTGTGGGAGGTTGGCATTTTCGGGCCACCGGATACCCTCTACGCTGGCGGCTATTTCCGGGCCGAGCTGCACTTTCCATCCGAATATCCAGTGTTGCCGCCAACCATGAATTTCTTGACCAAAATCTGGCATCCGAACATCTACAAGACGGGCAAGGTATGCGTCTCGATTTTGAATTTACCCAACAACAATGTGGGCGAAGAGTATGGCGTTTGCTGGGATCCAACCCAGAATGTTCGCTCAGTTCTATTGGCGGTTATTTCGCTGCTGAACGAACCGAATATCCTGTCGCCGGCAAATGGTATTGCCGCCTTCTGGTATCGTCGCCATCGCGAGACCTTGGGCACTGATCCCCAGTATCAGAAGATGGTGTTCAAACTGGTCTGGGAATCTTACCAGGATGCTCTCAAGATGGGCATCAAAGTGCCCCTCACTCGCGAGGAGTATTGCATCAAGTATCGGCCGGAATCTATCTCTTTTGCGAAATCCACATACGAAGTGAGGAGGGTTTTGTTATTTGGCGAGGACAGCGACGATGAGGAGGAGCAGATGGATCAAGTAGAGCAGGTGGAGCAGATGGAGCAGGTGGAACAGATGGAGCAGATGGAGCAGGTGGAGCAGATGGAGCAGGTGGAGCAGGTGGAGCAGATGGAGCAGGTGGAGCAGGTGGAGCCGGTGGAGCAGATGGAGCAGATGGAGCAGATGGAGCAGATTGATCAAGTGGAGCAAATGGAGCAGACGGAGCAGGTGAATCCGTTGGAGGATAACCAGCAGAAGGCAAAGAAGCGAAAGCAGGAGGATGAGGATGATGACCACCCCGAAGGAGTGCAGAAGAAGAAGCCGGCTTAAATGCAGAAGCAAAAGAACTCAACCCAAACTAAAGACCTAATCGAATTGGACTCAGGACATTCCAGGATCTATATCAACTCACCAGATCCCAGCCAACGATACAGTAAAGGCAGGAACACACCAAACACACTTCCTAACAAATACTATTCCTCCCAAGGACTCTTCCTCACAAAGACTCCTTCTCACAAGATATAAATGTAACCTTTTCAGGACTCTATCGCTTTGGCTGGGATCTTTAAGGCAATAAACAAGAACCACAATTAAACCAAATTGTTCTTTCAATTTGTAAAAAGGCAACCTTCAACCTGCATCCTGTACTTTCCCTTATAAAGCAATTTCTTAATCCTTAACTAGAAGATATTGCTATGGAATCAGGATACTATGATAATCAGCTATTTTCCGCTTCCCTTTCACTTTATAAACAAAGAAAATCATTTAAATTCATAACCCATAAATAAATTGCTCGCAGGGCAAGCCAGGAATTTTTAAACTTTCCCTTTTGCAACTTTTTCGAAGGATACCGAAAATCGCCAACTCACCTGGAGGCTGGGCAGCCTCCTCAGCACCCATCTTTTTGCCTAATCAATTGCCTTTCGCTGTGGAAATATATCAAGCCTCTGGAACTTTCTATACTATATCCCAAAAAAAAAACACAAGAAAGGAAATGAAATTTGAGGAATTTTTCCCTCTGGTAGCCAGAGTCCACAGGCAACATTTCCATATTTTGCAAATGACTTGGCATTTTTTCTGTTTCAGCTGGAAAAGCGGAAAATGGTAGCTTCAACGTGAAGGAAATTAATTTAACGCAGCTCATTGGCGCTTCTTTTTCTCGTTCACATTTTGATTAAATTTGAATTTTCGCTTAAAAGATTTCCCATCATCGGGGATTTTTGTCGCTAGTTTTGCTGGCATATAACCACGCAAATGAAAACGCATAAATTGGTCGTCTGTGTATGATTTGTGCACTGCTTCATTTGTTCCCGCAGAAATACACCCACGACAAGGATGGGAGGACGAGAGGACGAGAGATGAATGAACGAGTCCTGGAGTAGAAGTGCCAAAAAAATAGCGGAGGATATCTCTGCAGGACATGTGATGGGTAGCAAGGGTATTTATGCATGCTGGATTTATTATTTCTTTGAACTAAAAATAATGGGAATACTGAAAATTAGGTTTCTATACCTTTACAGGGGTTTTTTATTTCAGTCAGAAGCTTGAAACTAAGTGAAAGAATCATTTCCGACCCCATAAATTATATATATTATTGATCATACTACTAAATTAGGTATGCAGATTTGTTAATCGTCAAGCAACTTACACAGAAAGTTATGCGATTTTTAAACTTTGACTGTCCCAAAAAATATTACAAAATTATCAAGTAAAAATTTCGATTTTAAGAATCTTGCAAAGGAAAATATAATTTTTCAGTGACCATTTCCGACCCTATAAATTATATATATTCTTGATCAGCATTAACAGGCGAATCGTTCTGGCCAACTCAATTAGCAAAACAGACCTTTTATAATTATTTCAAAAAATTTTAAGGGGTTACATTGTTAAAATTTTGAAAAACCTAAAAAATAATTGGACTTCTAAAAAAGTTAAATTTAGTATTCGGATTTCTTAAGCACCAAACAATTAACGCAGGAACGGTTTCCGAATTGAAATTAATGAATTTTTGGCTAAGTTATGATATTCTTAAACTTTGTTTTGTCGAAGAAATTCTTATTTAAAAATATAAAAAATATCGATTCAAATGATGCAAATATTTTAAGCTTAGCTATGGACGGTTTCAGATACTATCTTTAAATTC